TGTGTGTGTGTGTTTGTGTGTGTGTGTGTGTGTGTGTGTGTGTGTGTTTGTGTTTGTGTGATACCGAGTGGGAAAATTTGAAAACTCGATCTTTCTTAGATGCTCAGAAATATTGGTCCTCGTTTTTTTCAGTGATTTACCGGTCCCCAGTCTGATGTGTTTACAAGAATGTTTGTGTGTGTGTTTGTGTGATACCTAGTGGGAAAATTTGAAAACTCAATCTTTCTTAGAAGCTCAGAAATATTGGTCCTCGTTTTTTTCAGTGATTTACCGGTCCCCAGTCTGATATGTTTACAAGAATGTGTGTGTGTATTTTTAATCCTGCTTTTACGCTTTTATGTTTGTGGTTTAAGTGAGTTTGAAGCCTGTTTCAGAAGTTGTACCAGATGCCTTTTTAAAAAATTTTATGACAATGTTGCTGCTTAATTCAAGAGTTTTTCGCTAATGAGTTATATAAACCAGATAATATGTTGCATAAAATGCAGATGTGATCAAAAGTTTAGCTGAAATCTTAATAGATGAATGCTTTCCTGAATGCATGGATAGGAAACTCTGGGATTCTCAGACCTGTAGAACCTTTGAAAAGACACGTTCCCATTTGTCCTATTTCCGTCATACGTCCTCATATATACTGAAAACACGTATGTGTGTGTGTATTTTTACTCCTGCTTTACTTCACACTTTCATGTTTGTGCTTTAAGTGGGTTTGAAGCCTGTTTCAGAAGTTGTACCCGATGCCTTTTTTTAATTTTTACGACAATGTTGCTGCTTAATTCCAGAGATTTTCGCTCATAAGTTATATAAACCAGATAATGTCCCTATATGTCGCATAAAAATCAGATGTGATCAAAAGTTTGCTATAGCTGAAATCTTAATAGATGAATGCTTTCCTGAATGCATGGATAGGAAACTCTGGGATTCTCAGACCTGTGGAACCTTTGGAAAGGCACGTCCCCATTTGTCCTATTTCTGCCTTACGTCCTTATATATAATGAAAACACGTATGTGTGTGTGTGTGTGTGTGTGTGTGTTCTCCAGAGCTCTGTCCATGTTGGGTCTGGTCCTCATCGCCCTCGGCACCGGAGGAATTAAGCCATGTGTGGCGGCGTTCGGGGGGGACCAGTTCGGCGAAGACCAGGTCAGTGGGGGGGGGGGTACAGAATTTTCATTAACAAATAAGTGTGGATGGAAACTGGAAAAGACCAGATTTTATATATATCTTTTTACTCTTTTTACTATATATATCTTTTACTTGAATGGAAATTAAAAGGCAATTAGCATCACAAAAAAAACGGATCAAAACAGGCAAACATAAAAAAAGAAAAAAAAGAAATTGGGTCTAATCTGTCACATAACACTGTAAAGGGGATGGCACATATCTGATCTAGATTCCAAAAAAGGGATATTTTCAATGAAAAAAGCCATAATAATAATAGTAATAATATTAATAGATAGATATAGTATTAGTGTGTAAGAGTCCTAAGCAACATATTCATTAACAGGCACTTTTAGCTGTAATTGGTCATATATTCCATCATGTAAACATGTTTTACTTTCCGTAACCAGACTTTCTGGTCAGTCTTCATCCAATTAATAGTAATTTTTTGTCTTTCAATCAGAATATGTAATATATAACATTGTTCTGTGGTAAACAGGTGGTCAGGAAACACCTCCAATAAAAATAAAAAAGGGTCCATAGGAAGGTTGGAGTTTAATTCAGTGTTTGCAAGATTAATTTAACTATTTTTAAATTAACATCTATATTACCATGAAGCTATTAGGATTTTCTTGCCTGGGATCTTCCTATTGGTGACGTAATCAAAATGGCCGACCTGGATGTGGGCGGAGTTGGATATCCGTCCTTTCGAACACTAACCTGAAACCTCTCCTTTAGCTGAGCCAGAGGCAGAAGTTCTTCTCCATCTTCTACATGTCCATCAACGCCGGGAGCCTCCTGTCCACCCTCATTACGCCCATCCTGAGAGGTGAGCCATCACCCGCATTTAAGGCGGCCATTTTAGATTTTGACATTAAAAAAGAGAAAGAAACAAGAAAGAACCCCGTTATCTAACATTTTGAAAAATACAGACGTTGAACGTAGCCTACATGAAACTAGAGGCATATTAGCACAGATATTCCAGTGAACGGGACCATCTCAGTGTGGTGGATCCAACATGGACGCCACCCAGCAGCAGGTAGATTCACCTGACCAGGTAGAGTCACCCGACCAGGTATGGTCACCTGACCAGGTAGAGTCACCTGACCAGGTATGGTCACCTGACCAGGTATGGTCACCTGACTAGGTAGGGTCATCTGACCAGTTAGTCACCTGACCAGGTATGGTCACCTGACTAGGTAGGGTCATCTGACCAGTAATGGTCACCTGACCAGGTATAGTCACCTGACCAGGTAGGGTCACCTGACCAGGTAGATTCACCACTATGTTTACCCGGTCAGGTAGAGTCACCCAACCAGGTATGGTCACCTGACCAGGTAGAGTCACCTGACCAGGTAGATTCACCACTATGTTTACCTGGTCAGGTAGAATCACCCGACCAGGTATGGTCACCTGACCAGGTAGTGTTTCACCTGACCAGGTAGAGTCACCTGACCAGGTATGGTCACCTGACCAGGTAGGGTCTCACCTGACCAGGTATGGTCACCTGACCAGGTAGGGTCTCACCTGACCAGGTATGGTCACCTGACCAGGTAGAGTCACCTGACCAGGTATGGTCACCTGACCAGGTAGAGTCACCTGACCAGGTAGAGTCACCTGACCAGGTAGAGTCACCCGACCAGGTATGGTCATGTGACCACCGGGCTCTCAGCAGAGCAGAGCAACAATCATACACCACGAGGAGGAAAAAGCTCAGTTGTTAGCGGGAAAAAAAATGCTAACCTGTTAAGTTCAGGTTTTGTATTTTTTTTTGTCATGTTTTTATGTTTTCAGTTGAAACATATACAAAAGGACCGTAATTCTCTGTCACATGACCATACCTGTCCTTGATATTCAAGACTCATGACACCGTTCATTTATAATATCGCAAACCGCAACATCGTCCACAATAATCACACTTTTTCATCAAACCGTGCGGCACTACCCTTCAGCTTTCCCGGACTCCAGACTCCAGACTCCAGACTCTGGTCTCTGGTCTCTGGTCTCTGGGCTCTGGTCTCTGGACTCTGGTTTTGGGGCTCCGGTCTCTGCCTGAGGCCCCCTGACCTGGTGGTCCTGACCCCTGACCCGGTGGTCCTGACCCCTGACCCTTGACCCGGTGGTCCTGACCCCTGACCCTGTGGTCCTGACCCCTGACCCTGTGGTCCTGACCCCTGACCCCTGACCCAGTGGTCCTGACCCCTGACCCTTTGGTCCTGACCCCTGACCCGGTGGTCCTGACCCCTGACCCTGTGGTCCTGACCCCTGACC